TTTCATTGTACATATCGTGACAATGCACCTTATCAGTAAAAATTTAGCAAATTTCCTTTTCTTAAAATTTCAGTCCTTTTACTTAGATTTATTTGAAGAAATCGAAATTTTAAGAAAAAGCCTTTTTTTTGGTTGAAATAGTTTATTTTAGTGGTTGCCAAACTTATTTTTCTCGTAGAGCCCTTTCAAAACTTTACTGGTTTCGGTGGACCCCCTGATGCTCATTTCTAACATAGTTATTCCCAAAGCCCATCAAAAAATCTGAAGATTAAATCTAACGATGAAATTTTGCATCGCAAGTGAGTTCCAAAACTAAATCCACTCGATGGCTCCCAGTCATTGCACCCAGAGTAAAGCAAGCTAGTTATCTTTACCAACATAATTTAGTCGAGACTTGCATTGCCGGACTAGTTTGGAAGTACCTAGATAGAGGGCTGACCAATGACTTAAGTGCAGCTTGGCTGTACCCGTAGACAAGTAAACTCCTTCCCCTCCACCTATTTACTACCACATAGTCTATGGCTTTGGGGATTGCAAATACCTCACCCTGGAAAACCGAAGCATATTCCCCAAGAGAAAAAATGAAGCTTATCCCCATTAACTTCGAAAAATACTCTAGATCCTGACCCTGATTCAATTTTGGAGCCATCAGTAAAGATTCGACAATGTACGAGTGCGGACTCAGTACTGGAATTAAACCAGCATTCCCCCTCATCGCACTCTCTCTCTCTCTAGAATCTCTTCAACAAAGGTAATGGTGGCGTACTATCCTGTAGCAATGAAAAGACACAAGTGCTCATATATCTGCCGCCGGCAATTTCCGCATCGCCTCACTCAGTGTTATACCAACATCCGTTTCTTTTTAGTCTGCAGGTGGCCTTTAAGGCTTCCTCACCAGTCCGTCAAGAGCACTATACACCACTCAAAAAAATTCAAGTTAAATAAATGGTATATCAAACAACCATTTTGGTTCTCTACTATCGAAACCAGATAAATTTTCGTGGGCCCCCAGATTTTTTTACGCCACCATAGACCCCTCTCGAGTCTCCCGTAGACCCCTGGGGGTCCACCTGGACCACTTTGGGAATCACTGGTTTATTTCCACATTGTTACATTTAAAGTCAATACGTTGAACAGAGCTTCACGCTAAAAAAAAGCTAAACATATGTATGTACATGTTTTTTTACATCTGTATTAATTTTTTTGTCGTATTGTGGTTTCTAAAGTGAATTAATTTCCTGATTTGTGATGCGTGAATTAACATTTACCAAGCAATATTATTACACACACACACAGCACATTAGGTCAAACGGCTGGGTTACTTATGCGAAAGTGAAAAATTCAAAGCGCCTATAGTTTTAATTTTTTTGTTTGCATTGGTTTGAGGTATTATTAAAGGCACATTCCGAAGTTCTTGTTCAATTCTAAATACGAGCTTAATAAAATGTTTCCATGCAAATTCAAAAATATAAAAGAAAGAAAAGCTGATTTGTATAAAAACGAGCAAACAAAATTGAAGTACTTTATTTTCCACGTAACCTAGTAAATATACGTATAGATATGTACATATGTACATATATTTATATGGGGTATTCACAACGGTGTCGTAACATATTGTTGTATATCGTAAACTTTAAACGGCTAAAAATATACAAAGGGGGTTCGCGAGTCGCCATAAAGGTCATATTATGACTTTTCGCGGTGTTAAAGATAGTTGCTTGTGGTTTCAAGTCCCCTAATTATTTATGTAAACTTTTTAAGTTTACGACATACAAGAATATGCCACCTACGACATTGTTGCCACAATAGTCTCTCGGGTTAACAGTAGTTTGACCTAATGCTAATTAGCGAAAATTTTCAATCTATTACTCACTGCTGTGAAGCGTAACCTCGCGAAAGCAACCATCAATTAAAGATATTTGGTAGATCAAAATCGTTTATTTGTGTTGTACTAAATATTTTTGTTGTAAATAAGAAAATTTACCATGAACATACATATGTATTTACGAGTATTTTGTACTTCGAGAACATAGTACAGTGAGATTATTTCTTAACTATAACAGAAAAAAAATTAGGGTGATCTAAAAATTTAAGGAATTTTTGGTTTTTGAAATTTTCCTGCTACCATCCCCTACAAATGCAGAGTTTTGAAAACATGGAGACCCATATTTTTTTATTTTGAAGTAGGTTAACATTTATCCATGTCACCGGCACTTTAAATTCATCCATATATATGTACATATCGTACGTTTAATAATATACAAAAGTATTTTCGAAATTTCAATTTTGTGGGAAATCGCAATCAAAGTTTGAGCAATTCATCCTTATCAGGCTTATTAGTTGTATGATGAAATCTCCAAAAACGTGAATTTTGAATTACTTCTCTATATCTATTATTAAACATGCGATATATTTTGTTTGTTAAAAATACATTTGTTCGTTGAATTGCTATAAAATGTTAAGAATGAATATTTTTTCACCGAATAAAAATATTTGATTTCATAAAAATCCAAAATTAAAATCATAATTATTTAACTTTAAAATTGTATTAACTATGGCTGAAAAAAAAATATTTTTGACCACCTTAATTAAAAAATGCCATTTGCATAAAATTATAAGGCTACTTTTTTAACAAACTCAATAAAGTCCTTAAAAAGTGTTTGTGGCACTTCTAGTGCCGGAAAATGCCCGCCATCCTTGTAGAAGGTACTCTGGGTAAGATTTTTATATTTATGCTTAAGTTCAGCATCCGTGGCGTGTGTTAAATCCCACTTAAAACGCGCGCACGCAGTTGGTGTTTGTATGTGAACGCGATCGAGGTCAGTTTGTGTTTTAGAAAACGCCTCCGCATAGGTGCGTTGCGATGTTGTTATAGAGTTAGTAATATAATAAATCATAACATTGTCCAACAGACTATCTAATGTATAATTTTTGGTTAGACCGCCATCCGAAAGTTTTCTATATTCTGGATTTGTCCAGGTTGAGAATTTTTCCAGGATATATGCAGCCAAACCGATAGGATTATGTGATAGGACGGTACCAATGGTGTCAGGTTTTGTAGCTTGCAAATGTAGATAGCCAGTTTCTTCAAGTAGATATGATTTTTCGTCACTGAAAGAACGGAAGAATTCCCTTTGCTCTGAATCAAGATAAAGTCTGGGAAACAAAGCACGCAGCGTTTTGGTGACCAGAGCGAGAGGACTCAAAGAGACACACCAATTGGAATGATAAGCTAATACATTTTGTGGAAAGAGCGCAGCCATGTTCGAACCAATTACAGAGCCCCAATCACCACCTTGCACCAAGAATCTGTCATGCGCCAGAATGCGTTGCATAAGATTTCGCAAAACTACAGCTATTTCAGCGGGTCCAAAGCCGATTTTCGAAGCGCCCTGAAAATAGAAAAGGATGTTAGTATTTAAATATATAGTAATAATACCACTCTAAGCCAGAAATATATTCATTATACCTGGGACCAACCAAAACCTGGCAAACTGGGTGCAATAACTTCGAAAATATATTCGCTTTCTTCGTTTGGACTTGTAAGTAATGGAATGATGTCGTAGAATTCGCGCACAGAACCAGGCCAGCCATGGAGTAATAATAATGGGAGTACCGTTTTCCCTTCCGCTATTTGGGGTTTCACGTGAATATAGTGTATGCGCAAACTGTAGAATAGAAAAAATATAACAATAAGCAAGAAGAGAACACGTTTTTAATTGTATCTATGAAAAAGCAGAAGTTTTTAAATTCGATAAACAAGGTAATATCTACTTATGCCAATTTTAAAGTGGATACATGTTTAAATATATACATTAGAGGGTGCCAACATATAAGAAAAAAAATAAGTTCGCCTAACACCGCCGAGTCCAAAGTATGTTTTTCAAGGCTATTTCGAAAATTTTTTATTTTTTTACTGCGCCTAGTGATTGCATTTTACAATTTGCAGTGACACCTACATATATTCGAAAAGAATTTTTTTTAATACATAGTTCTACTGGAGTAATCAAAATACTTATTTTCCAAAAGTCCATCGCCCGCAAAAAAATGATAAAAACAACGAAAATTCCTAAAGCTCAGTTATGCAAGACTTAGACCTGGCTTGACTTACCTAGAAACTTATAAACGATTATTCTCCGTGTCATCTATTCCTTTTTTTTTGGATCCTCAGCATTTGTACATACATATTTGTACATGCGCAATTGTAAACGTTTAATTTATTTGAGGTAAAATTGGATAAAAATTACAATCGAAATAAATGTTTTTAAGCGTACCAAATTGTGATTTTATTTATTTTATTTTCTGTCCGTACTTTAAAGTTTGTTTTTTTCGATAGCCATATGAATTGCAGTTATAAAAAAAAAAAATTGTTGTAGGCATATTTGGAGGATTTGTATTAAAAATAAGTGAAAAATATGAAACTTAACTTAGAAATTAAAAATCTTTTCCACGCGACTTTCTTTAATTGTCATTTCAAAGCCTACTGAAAATTTAGCATATGGGCCATTTCATTGGGACTAGTGGGACATTACATTTTACTCCACAATGTGAACAATTATGAATTTTAACTATGTCGTTGGAACTTATACAACAGCGAAAGATATTTTTTAACATAGAACGATAACTAATGTATAAAATTGCTTTAACTATCATTTGAATGAATGTGACTGGTGGGACACTGAAAAGAACTCTATTTTAACCTTGTGTACTCAAGGAGGAATTTTAGCCAAAACACTTGATTTTCAAGAACGATATATTTGTGTTGAGCAAGAAATAAAAGTTTCCATCGACAAAAATTACAACTTCTTTTGATTTTGTAAATATTTTTTTTGCCCATAGGTTAATGAAATGTAGTCATTAAAAAAGGGGTTACTACTGAAATAGAGATAATTAGGGAAGATTTAAATTTATGTCGTTTTCCTCTTTTCAATGGAATGGCCCATATAATGCCCAAGGTTGATCTTTCGCAGCTCTATGCCGTTCACAAGGGGAATTAATTTTGACTTTTTGGCTGTTATCCTTATAAGGAAGTGCTCTTGAAAAAACTAAGTACATACAAATAATAATTAACTCAATTTGCCAACATTTATCTACTTGATTTTTGAATAAGTAGAAGTTATTAAGTAACTACGAGTATATGTAAATGGAAACATGTGTACAACTACGTGCCTGTGAAGTCTTGTAAATGAAAACATACAGCTGGGCGCATATATTCTTCATAGAATATGTATATGGAAGCAAATAGTGAATATTCTCAAAATTAAATTTCAATATTCCAGGCACATCAACCCGGTACGTCGCGGCTTCGCGGTTTTGCTGACATTGTTACTGACCTCTTTGAGAGCGTCATTTGTTCATTGTGGTGCATTTTAATGAGCGTGCACGCTCAAGCTTACTCGCCTACATATCGGCAATTATCATTGTATGAATATTACATAACACAAAGATTACATACATACATACTCACAATTGAAAATGTTTGCGTTTTGTCAAACAAATCATTTTTGAAACGTAGAACTATGAACATATCTTAAATTAATCTTCCGTTACTTACCCTTGAATTTGGGTTTCAAAATGTGGAAACTGACTCAAATATGCTTCCCTTTTATCCCAATTTCGCAGATATGTCTCAAGCCAATATGTGACAATGTTTTGTAGCTCCTTGGTGTTGAAGCCATATTGAAAGCCAATCCCTTCCAGTGGTGCGTGCAGATTCAATGGGCGCGACAAGTGTGTTTTCAGACCAGCAATGAGCTTTAAAAATAACAAAAATATAAATGGTTGCATACATCCATATAAAAAAAAAGCAAAATCAATTGTAAGAATTTTTCGCACACCAGTTGCTTATTTATAACGCCGTGGCGTCGATTAAAAGAAACCGGTTGCATAATATTCGTGTTAGTTGTTGCTATTTTTATTCTGAATTGCAGTCATTTTTAGTCAATGCATTGTTTGTGGTTGATTTTTTAGCAAAGAATTTTGTGTAAAGCCAATGAACTCTTCGTTGCAAAAATATTCACGTACCACCTGCACTTAAGCTTTTTGGCCTTGACTATTTTGCATTATATAATGTTGGAGCTTTTTAAGAGCATTTGGTTTTTCTTGCATTAGCTTGATGCGAATGCGAATATGTAATGTGATAAAATTTATGAAAATTATAAATAATGAAAAGTTAGATTCGCTAAGTTCTAGCATGCCTCATAATGAAGTTTTTCACGCAGCTGATGTCCGTCACTGAGAGTTGCTCAGGGGTTTTGATAAAATGCATATGAGTGCTGATACTTAAAGCTTAGCCTGGCTAATGTATGGTATTTTCGATCCCCACAAGCTGTCTGAGCCAACATATCCTAATTGTTGGGGGTCAGTGCTACTCTCCTCAGACATCGGTAAACCACCAAATGGCAATGCGCTATAAAAAACCATTAGGCTTTCGGGGGCGGCGTAAAACCATAGGACCAACGGATAAAATATGTAAAACTTAGAAAAAATGTGACCGCCAAATATTTATTTATTTTTCCCCACTCATTGCCCTTTATGAATAAAAACTAAGCAATTTCTTTTTGTAAACATTTCAGATCTTTTACTCGATTTATTCAAACAAGTTCAAGTAAAAGGTCTGAAATTTTAAGAAAAAGCAATTTCTTAGTTTTTATTCATCTGGCCCATTGTCAGTTGAACGAATTTCTATAACTCTGCTGACAAGAGAATGATGGCCCAGATTGCCCTGACTTGCCCTTTCATCAGTCTAACATTTTTTCGCAATGCCCCGCTGTAACTCATCATCCATATCAATCTGTTTTTGAAGTATTTAGAAGCGGCCGATGTAGAAGCTAGGCGAATCTGATTACCTACTGCCTCACAGAGTAATTATTAACGCCCAACTCAGCAGCGTAGATAGCGGATGGAATATTGATTTTTAACTTTCATGGGTGAATCAATTCCATCAAGCCCACCTATCTATGCTACTGGCGGACTACACAACTGTCAGGCGGCAATCTCTCCATGAAACGCTTTGCAGAAATCTGGAATCATAATTTTGCTCACAATGGCAAAATATGGTGGGAAACGTTCTTTTACTTGTGCTCGCAAGCATCTGCACAAAATGTATAAATACTTAAAAAACAAATGAAAACTACTTTATAGTCCCATTTCGAAACATCTTCTACTTCTAATTTTACACCAATACTACTCTCTTTCACTCATCCATTTTAGTAATTTGGATGAAGTACTCGGTATGCGAAGGTTTTAAAAACTGTCAAGTGTACCCAGATCCCATTACTAGCACCCAGTTGTCTACAATATCTACGGCTGATACGCTCAGTAGAGCAGTAAGTTTTAGAATAGCCGTGGTGTCCGAAATACAACCTCCTAATTCCATTAAGAATAGCCCTCTATAAGCTCTCTAGCTGGTTAACGACAGTGTTTCCATCCCCAAAGAGTTTTATCAGGCAATCTGGACCACCCAAAGAGTTTACTGTCCAGCATTACTCCAAAAAACTTGACTCTAGCAGAAAGTACAATTAAACATGACGAAATGAGGCAAGTAGTAGAGCTGATGAATGGAACGATCTATGCCTAAGAGTATCAATTTATCAAGCTAGAAAGCAAATTTATAAACTTTCATTAGGCATACTGAAACTTTCCTCTAACAATAAGCTCCAAGTAATCCGCATAGGCTCAGAAATAAGCAGCCATGAAGCTAATAAGAGCCGTATATAGATTTTTAAAATGTAACAAAGAGCCAAAAAAAATGTCTTGCTGGTCGCTTCTAACCGAATGCATCTGTGAATCTTTCTGTCGTTAATAATTAATAACAAAACCTCTTACCTCATGAAGTTGAGCGAATAACCGACGCGACTAGATACAAGTAATCGATCAAAATAAACGGCTCATATATCTATCTATTTTTTGTGGTGCTTTGTGACATTATAAAAATCTATATTCGGCTCTTATTAGCTTATGGCTGCCGATGGCTTATGCCACTTTCAAAATAAAAGACTCATACATATGTATATAATAACTAAAACTATAGTCCTTTCGTTATATTTACGAATGGTTCGTAAAATCTTGTTTCGTTGTGAAAAATGTGTTCGTATTATGAACGAAAGTTTCGTACATTGTACAAAAATCAAGACTACGAAATTTTATTTTCCGTGAAGAGTATTGGGATGGACCTCCTCCTGAAGTAGCTGCCATCAAAGAAGTGGGAATCAGGAATCTAAGCGACTAATCTGAAAGCTAAGCGGTAATCAGGGCCCTGAACTCGCTGATGGTTAGATTTATATGGAAACCAGGCCAAATTACTAATGTGGGAATTAATTTTCTTGCAGAGCTGGGGATAAATTGTATCTGGTTCGCTCTTGGATTGATGGGACCCATATCAGCTGTGCGAACATTGGGCGAAAGCTAGCGTTAAACTCAATTACAAGAGTCTGCTAGTCCACGGTAGATCGGAGGCAATCAAAGATGCTGATTTTGCTTACACAGCCACAGCTCCCGCTTTCGGGCGAGCCCTGAGCTTGTTTTTTAAGACAGACATTTTCACAGAAACTAGCAAACACAGGGCGCTTATTAAGATAAACGTTTACCGTATTTGAGCAGGGAATCACAAATAATGAAAGCTGTAAAACGGCTAAAATACAAAATAAATTAAAGCCACACCTTGCTATCTAGTTGACCTAACCGGGAGCATTTGGTTCAAGTCATTACGTAGAAAGTAGGGATGTTAATTTCTCCTTTTTTACGATCCCGGGATTTTCGGGATCTGGTTATCATTATCCCGGGATTCCGGGATTAGTCTTGGTATTTAGATATTTATTATTTTTCAACAACCCAAATCGAAAAAATTGCTTCCTAGATACATATTGAAATATTTGTATACATAAACGCCTAGTTTTCAAGTTTCCACATTTGGGTTTACTTTTAATCTATTATTAAGTCATATTATATCGATTCAGTTACTTTGTAGTTGTAACTGTCGTTAGCCTAATTCGCTGGCCAATAAGGCTTTACTGCGTAAATATGCAGGGATCATTGAACTAGTGCAGAAATTGCACTCTGCCACCTAGTACATACCTGTGATGGGCAAAATTGTATTTACTAAATATTAACTGTGTAGAAAAGTATTTAGATACATATTTACTTTCGTTTCACATAACGAAACATGGCGTATAAAGGTACTTAGAGATTTTGGATACGAAAGTACCAAAGAAAATGTATCTACTTATTTACTAGACACAAACGTACATAGTATTTATGACTGTATTAAATACTACATACTTGCTATTTAAATACTCAATATAAAAAGCTTGGAAAAAAGGCCGTTAATAAAGAATTTCGGGACATTCGGGACTATTTTGTGATTTACGGGACGGCTTTGGAATTTGGAATGAGATAAGGTAAGGCATTGATTGCTTTAGCTTCACCTAAATCGTAAAATATTTAGCTTATATTTAGCCGAGTACTAAATACCTTAGTACTTAAGTGGGAGTATTTTACCTACATACATAAGTAGAAGTACTTAAGGTCAGAATATTTAGCGTCATCCAGTTTTTAGGTTAGTAGGAGTGACAGTTTTTCCAATCTCCCTCAATGAGCGGCTTTCAGTTCTAACCATTGTGCATAAGTTACGAAGTAACATTTTCAAACAAATTTTCGATTTATGAAACATACTTTATTTTTTTTATGAATAAAAGTGTTAATTAATATATTTTCGAAGGTATTTAATCCTGGAAATTTAATTTATACTCTTATTACTCGATTCTGCATATCCTGCACTTTTCTCAAAGATGTATTAATTAGGTATTTACAATACCTTATCACTATACATTAATACAATTTTTCAGATAGGTGGCAACCCGCTCCAAAAATATTTTGCCAGTAAACTTTCTTAAACCTCGTTAGTTTGATAGCACTATTATAATATTTCATTTATTTTATAAATTTATCAATTGAATAAAATATTTAAAATATGTGGTAAACTTCCTCAAAAATATTTTTGGAAGTCAACTTTCCTAAATCTTTTTATTTTGATACCCATATTTCAATATTTAATTTTTCCTATCCATTATATAATATTAAATTTTAAAACAGGTGACAACCTCCCACAAACGTATTTTCTACTGTAAGCCTTCCTAAACCTCTTTCGTTTGACAGCCATATTGCAATATTTGCTTTATCTAATCAAATTCCCTAAACTGCAATTGGTCATTTTGACCCAATCATTGCAGAACGGTTAAGTTAGACCTTTAGCAATGCATCGGTGTAAACTGAACTCGATTCCATGCATTAGTTTTTGAGTGATGCGCGTAAAAACATACCGACAGACAGATACAAATTCTAAAAATTAATGATTTAGCTTCTGTTGATTTAATAATGAAACCCATAATTTTTTTTCAAAACCTTTAGCACATACACCCGCTAGCCGCTTTTCTAGAAACGCACCTGATTAATATTAATGTAAATACAATAGGGGTATTCACGATCCGGTGCATACTGTCTAGCATGGTGCATAGATAGCATAAATAGCATGATTGTTGTTGTTTCATGTGTTCAAACAACAACAAAATTAGCCAATCATGCTATCTATGCATCATGCTAGACAGTTTGCACCGGATCGTGAATACCCCTAATGTTCACCCCGCATAAATGCATAAGTGACAACTAATTTTTAAGCAAAAACTAAACCGACTTCAGTTCTCATATAAAAATTTAGGAGTACCGTTAATTCTTTCATGATTCAATGAGACACTACCTTTCCGATGCAGGATGAATTTTCGAAATCGGTTGACGTGGTGCGGTAATTTACTTAAAAAAAAACAAAAAAAAAATATTCCGACGAATTGATAACCTCCTCCTTTTTTCGAAGTCGGTCAAAAACTGCCATACAAACAACACCGAAATATGCACATAAATTCAACGCAAAAGGTGCCTTGTTTTTTACGCTGTTTAATATATATTTTTATACTTATACATACATACATATTCAGGAGTATATTCGCAATGTTCATACCTCAGGTTTTACTTTAATATCAAAGGTCTTCACCGCACTATCTTCCTGATAATTGACACCATTTCCGGGTCCCCAATATTCGGTATCGTTCAGCTTAGGTGCTGGGAGGGAACGAGAAAGTAGCCGATAGTTTTGTAAGAGCACGGCAAGTAGAAACGCGACAGCCACGACCGCAAAACGTATGAAAACACCCATTATTGTTGCAAGGAGTGACTTCCGGTAAAAATTTCAAATCTACGCGTATCCGATATTTTCCGTTCACCTCGTAAGCTTTTTGTAAGTTTACGCTTTACACCACTATGGAAGTAAAAGACGGCCAACCACGCGCGCGTACGTCTATTCTCCAACTGACTGTGGTTTACTTACGTTTACGGCCTGAGAAGAATTGTGGTGGTCGCATTTGGTATTTGAATTGAATGCGTGAATTTACTGTGTGTGTATGAATGAAGGTGTGTGTAAATATGTAGGTATGTTTGTATATGACTCATTCCACCGTAATCGATACCGAATGTAACGAAAATAAAATTAAGAATTTTAGTATATTATTTAAGAAGTCTGATGAGGAAATGCGGTGAATAAATTGTTGAATATAATTGTTATAAGGTCATAAAAAAAGCAGATGTATGTATATATGTACATATGTTATGTATGTATATTGGTTATGAGACAAAATAGATATGTATGTAACGTAAGTTTCACTTCTCCAGTGTGGCCCAGGCGCACTTACTTTTTTTTCTCGGCATTGTGCATACCTCGGAAACCTATAAGAAAATACTCGTTTTAAAGAATTTTATATTACAGTTTAAGAATTAAGCCTTAAATTGTGAGTTGAAATGTCACACCCGTCACCGTGGAATGAGCCATATTATGAACATGTAAGGTACAACGTATACGCAGATAATGCCGCTTATCTTAAATTTTTTATAAATTATTAAATTTTCTTATCGAAAGAACGAAGTTTGAACACCTTAAACGACCATCGGAAAATTCAGCCTCCACGACGAATCTTCCGACAATGCCGGGACATATGTAGTACTAGCTTCAAGCATGAAAAGATTCATCAAGCTACGTGGCTGTTTCCAGATCAAAAAACGAGAAACCAAATCGACCATGTTTTGATAGACGGAAGGCATGCTTCCAGTGTTTTATATGTACGTACACTCCGAGGGCCAAACATCGACCACTATCTTGTAGCATCCAGATACGCAGCCGCCTCTGTGCAGCAAAAAATGTGGGCCAAAAAATGCAAGGAAAGCTCGACGTCAAAAAGCTCCAGTCACAACAGACGTCCAATGCATTCGCTACTCGACTCTCATACCTGATCTCAGAGAGCGCTCTTCAACAAACCAATATATGCGAGCAATGGAAACATATTACCCTTTCATTAAGTACCGCCGCCGAAGAAGTAGTCGGATTTCAGCAAGCTCGAAAGAGCAACTGGTACAATGAGGGGTGTCAAGAAGCTTTGGAGGAAAAGGATACCGCTTACAGGGCTACGCTGCGATCGGGCGCAACGCCAGCCATGTGTCATAGGAGCTGAAGAGGTAAGCGAGACGTATTTGCCGCAATATGAAGACAAACACCGAAATACGTTAGTGCGCAGAGCTTGATATGTTGGCCGATAGGAAAAACGCCCTGAAAATTTTACCAAAGAGTTAGGCGACTTAATTAAGGCTTCAAGATGTCCACCGATATTCCACCGCCTCACTATGTCTAGATTGAATGGCAATTACGCGGCTGAAGAATTATAAAGTGAAGCTGGCAGCCTGCTAGCTGAGCTATTAAAGCTCGGCGGCGAGGAGCTGATAAAGTGCACGCATCAACTCTCATGCAGAATATGGTCAGATAACGCATGCCCGACGACTGGAATTTAAAGTATTCTGTCCAAACCACAAGAAAGTCAGCCCCGCCATTTGCGCTAATTACCGCGGGATCAGCCTTCTAAGCATAGGTTACAAGATCCTATCGAGCGTCTTGTGTGAAAGACTGAAGCCCGCCGCCAACGAACTAATTGCGCCTTATCAGTGTGGCTTTAGACCTGTCAAATTCACTTTAAAACAGGTATTCATAATACGCCAATTCTTAGATAAGGCACGGGAGAAATGGATCGACACTCACCTTCTATTTGTCGACTTCAAAGGCGCTTTCAACAGCACTAAGAGTTGCCTATACGCCGCGATGTCTGAATTTATCATCCCCGCGAAACTGATGTGGCTATGTAAAATGACGCAATACCACCAGCTCCGTCAGAATCAGCAAAGACCGAGCCGTTCGCCAGCAAACCAACGCGAAGTCTGTTCTGCCTTTTCCAAGTTGGATAAGGAAGCAAAGTGATTGGGTCCGGTGGTCAACAAGGACAAGACGAAGTATAGCCCGTCATAAAATAAACAGTCAGCAAATTCGCGGCTTGCCACTCACGTCACAGTTGACAGTTATAATTTCGAGAAACTAGAGGTACTCGTTTACTTGGGAACCAGCATTAACACCGATAATAATGTCAGCATCGAAATCCAACGCAGAATCACTCTTGCCAACAAGTGCTACTGAGTAGGCAATTAAGAAGTAAAATCCTGTATCGACGTACGAAAACTACACTCTCATTATGTCCGCGCTGGTATATGGCGCAGAATCATGGACAATAACAACATCCGACGAGGCGGCTCTTGGAGTATTCGAAAGAAAGATTTTTCGGAAGATTTACGGACCTTTTTGCATTGGCGACGGCGAGTACCGCAGTGGATCCGCTGCCTCGGCCCTTTGGTTAGAATGGACGTTATAGGCACACAACCACCGGACACTGACGGAGCTTCATCTGCCTCGGGAGTCTAGAACTACAATAGCCCAACTTCGCTCTGGCTATTGCAGCAGGTTAAACTCATACCAGAGCAGATTAGACGCAGATGTGCCAAATGAGTATCCGGCATGCGGAAAGACACCACACAACTCAAAACATCTTTTCATATGCCCGGAAAACCCGACACTGCTAACGCCTTTGTCCGCGTGGACCGACCCCATTGATGCTGCACGCTTTTAGGGCTTTCGTTAGTTGAGCTTGACGACAGCGACTGAGTTATTAACCGATCCAGGCGGGGTTGTTGTAGCCGCTACAACAATAACAACAACAGAGGAAGAGAGAGGCCCCCACTGCGATGGAAATACCAAGTGGAGAAGGACAGGGCTTAACTTGGCATTTCCAATTGGCGTAAGTTGACACATAAAGTAAATTACTGGCGTGCGTTGGACCTGTCCTAATACGCGTTGCCGGTTACAACGCCAAATAAGGGGGAAAAGAAGATTGAAAGTACATTATGTAGATACAAAAGTCGCCGGGGTTTATCCGAGCTGAACAACGACATGCCATTGGAGCACGAAAAAGAAAGGGCTTGATACGCTGGCTTCAGTTTTGCCAAGACTGCGAAGGATCAAATAGATTCGGAACAGCGGTTATGTAGAACTCATGAACCCACTAAACAGATCAACCAGCACAGCGACCGTGTATTTGTAATTGCATTTGAGAAAAAAAAATTGTTGATAATGTCATTTTTTAATAAGTTGTTTCATTCACACACATGGTTTCATTCCGTTTCATTCATATGGTCGCAAAAAAATGACGTCACTGCAAAAAACTTGCTTTTTTCGCGCACGCCGTCCTGGGTAATCTTTATTCGTTCGTTCAGACGTGCCTTTTGTATTTCCGAGCCCAAAAGGCCTCAAAGTTATTTATAAAGCCAAACTTAAGGAATGATATTCCAGTAAAAACCGAAACACAGGCACAATTTTCCGCCACTATTAGCACTAAACTACATCCGCCGCGTTATTGCTCTCGCCCGCAAGTGTACTTTCCAGACAAAGATGGTCTTTTAAGCATTGCCGACGTAGAATATCATATATGTTCTCGCGATAGCCGGCCCTATGTAATTGAAACGACCCAGATCTAGTACATCTGGCCAAGGACGGCTAAACTTTATAATATCTTCAGTACTAATATTTTTCAGTACACGGCTGTGGTTTAAACTTAGCTTAAACACTCGAGCTGGTGGGTTTAAGCGGTTCAATTATGTAAACATTACGGGAGCAATGCGCACATGCCCGACGGCAGCGTTGGAGGTAATGCTGAAACTCGAGCCACTGCATCTCTCAATTGAACAGGCTGCAAAGCGAACCCTCCTTAACTTTGCGAGAGAGGGCTTCGGCAAAGGCAATGTGTTATCATCTAGGAACAGGGAAAAGCTAGGTACCCAGCTCCCTCTGGCTTTGTTCCCCAGCGACAATATTAACAGAGAGGTGGTCTTCAAAAGAAATTTTAGGACCCACACTTATAACAAGGCGACCTGGTGTACCTCTATTACGGAGAGTCACATGGAGGCGAGCGCAATACAGTTTACAGCGGGGATTGGAGCAGGCGTGTACGGCCCCCGGCTGAAGCTTTAGGCGCCCCTGGGAACCTTTCCTGGCATCTTTCAAGCGGAGGTCTATGCCATCAGTATGTGCGCTGAGATTAACATTCGCCTGAACTATAGGAATGAAAGGATACTTATACTAAGTGATAGTCAGGCGGCACTTATGGCCCTCTCAACATTCGAGATCGAGTCCTCCTTGGTTTTGGAGTGTGTCAAGAGGCTTAATGCTCTGGCGGAGGTTAATGATATCCAACCAATGTGGGTACCAAGGCACATAGGAGTTGCAGGAAATGAGGAATGGCCGCTTTCTCGACCCCGATAGGACCTGAGCATTTGCAGTGCGGCCAAGGAGACTCGTCTACACCTTCTTATGGAGTGTAAGGCCGTTGCACGCAGGAGGTATAGGAGCATAGGGCACGTCTGGTCAAGAGAGGAGCACATACACTCACTGTCACAAGGGGTCTATTATGAAATTTCTGGTCTGAGTCTGGTTGAGGTATTGTGATGAGCTAGGGGCACAATAGACCTACTGGTCGCAGTGCCATACCCAACTAACTACCTATCTATCTCTAAACGTTTTAGTGCACTCCTTTGCTTTGCAATTAAGGCTGCTGCGGAAAACTACGGCAGCATCTTAGCGGGATCGATTTGTTAACTTGCTAATGGAGGCTGCCTGGAGCAGAATCAAAATCATTGTAAGGAAATGATGTTAATATGATAATAAAGAAACATTTCGGGAACGGCTTTGCCGTGCCCTATGTACGCAAAATGCAGCGATTCGTCCCAGCGCTACACTTGCATCTACGCATCTTGCATCTTGACGGCTGTCGCAATTTAACACGCAGCACTTAATTTTATTAGTTTTTACGCAGTCTTCAACTCAAAATTTACTCACAAATTGTAAATTAACACAATTTAAACTCATTTTGCACTTATAATTCAAATTTCTCGTTGCCGCTGATTTGTAAACAAAGGTTTATTTACAAGTTACCACCACCGTCAAAATCGGCAAAACCAAAGTACCACCCACGGCGCAACCTTTGTTCGTCGCACCGTGCACTTGAAACCATGATAAAACATTGGACCCGTTCAGAAGGCGCACATAACATACATAACAGTAAAGACGCGGATGATGCAATTGCAATGCTTTTAACTTAACTTTTTTATGTATGTGTTACTTAAATTTATTTATATTTTGTACTTGTATTTACGTATATACATATACTTATAGTAATTTAGCCTCATTTATCAAAAATTCAATTAACGCACATGGCTTGGATGCATTTATCCGCGATGTGCACACTGCAAGCATCAACACAAAGTGAGGTTGCTGTTTTTGTTTCCAATGCGATGCTCGCAAACCACGCTACAAACGACGAGCAAGCTCGCTGAAAATCAAATTTTTTTGATCTTTGGCGAGCATGCTCGCAAACCGCCCTACAAACGACGATCATGACCCGCAAGCCGCGCATGTGCGCGGATATGTTCGTCGTATGTAGCCACTGTTATGCTTGAAACAAAAAAAACAAAAAAAAGTTTACTTGGCAACACTACTATTTTTGCGAAATTTTACCGTTCCTCTTGGCTGTCATTTCAAATTGACTAAATTTTGGAAATGCGTAGTTTTTCGTTCTAAAAGAAAACTTTTTAGTTTTTTTTTGAAAAGCCAACAAAATAAATAAGATACCGATTAAACACAAATTAAACTTTGTATACAATGTCGTATAGCACACAAAGGTCGGCCTTCGACAGCCATTTTCAAAACATTGCAAATGCAATTTCAGTGGAGAAATCCAGCAGTGTTTTGGTAAAAGATTTTGAATTAATACGTGTTTATCTAATGGAAATATTACGAAATGATCCAATAATTGGTCCCTTGCTCGTGAGCTTAAGGTATAAAGGTAAGCAGTTAACTACATCCTACATTTAAATCTTGCACTTAATTGCAATTTTCAGCTAGCGCTTTCGATTGTTCAATAATATTGGATTTTTCGAAGTTCATGCCTCTTGGTGTAATACGTACGAAGTATCCTTCGTTTATCAAGATTGCGCAACGCGGACGCTGCAGCGTATCTGGCACGCAGGATTTGCCATTCTTCAGCAACGGCGAGTACGTTGCTGGAGGTATTGTAACCAATATTGTGAAAGGATTAATAGCGCAGGGCTTAGATTTGGGTGGCTATTTTGTACGTGGACATATGGGCGATATTTACGAATTGGAATTGATCGAGGAAACGATAAACTTAGATTACAGAGTAAACTTAGATTATAATAATGAATGGCAAAGTAACTATATTTTGATTAGTGCTTCCACTGAAGGAATAACCCTAAAAATTCGTTTTCGAGTTTTATTAAAATTTTGTGCCCCCGACAAACCCAACGATTTGACGCCATACCCGATGCATAATTTAAAGCTAGTTTGGTTAGCGTCAGCAGATGTACGTTATTTGGAATACTTTTCACTGTGCGCACCAATGAGTGAATATCAATTAGCAGCATCTCCGAAACATTTGATGGCAATGCGATTATTATACTCATTAATAGAGCACAACAAGTTGTACACGTTGAGGAAAACTCATGTGGAATCTATTTGCTATGAAATAATTTATACAAAGATACAAAAAAGACCTCAGCAATCTAAGGATACAGAGATTGATATTATTATTGCTGTAAGTATTTCAAATCTAAGTATGTACATATTTTTCGCTCTGATTAGACTAAAACAAACTTTATATGAAACGGATTTCTATCATTTGTATAGTTAGGTAATTCATAAGGTTTCATAGCATCAGCAATATTTTAAAGGTTAAAAATACTTTGATTGATTGTTGTCCATCATCTCAAAACATGATAAATTGCATGTATTTTGATTATCTAACCTTATATTTAGATTATTCGACGCATAATAGAGTATTTCGACAAGAACCGATATCCATTTTATTGGAATACTAAGGAAGATCTGTTGTTACTTATAAAAACTCATGCCGCCAAAATGTTTACCCGTAATCGCTTGCGTGAAATATTGGATCAAATACGCAGCATGCGGCAGAACGACGAAATATCTTATGAAGAAGTTGCATGTCTTTTCGGTAATATTTTTTTTTTTTTAAATTACATCAGTTTTAATGAAAAATATTTTCAGGTGTACAGCTAAATACAGATGTATACAATGTGGACGATTTTGGAATTTATCGACACTTTAATAAACCTACGTAAAGTAGTATTTACTATTAATATTTTATTATTTGATAATATTAGGTTTTCGTTTGCTTTAAACTAATACTTTATGGCGTAGCGTTTAGTAAAATAACATAATCTTACAATGCAAATTGCTTTATCGTAATATGAAATATATATTCGTTTATGTATGAATATTAAAAAATCTCTGCTGCTTGAAATTACTAATAATTTATCTACGATTTGCCATAAATGAACTCAACATCTTTTATCATGCCGTGATTCTTCATACGATTGGTAATGCTATTCTGCTGCAACTGCAACTGTATTAAAATAAGAACGCTGCTGAGAATACTTTTAACGATCTGTTGAGAAAAAGATTAAGAGTTTGAATAATATCTCTTCATATATCTTTAAAATTCTACAAAAATATTTGGTATAAAAACAATCAGGGTACTCATCTAAATTCGTATATGCCTCGTAACTGTATAAACCTCGTAAACTTACTTAATTTTGTATGGAAAACTGGGTTATTTACGAGGTTTACACATTTTCGAAGCATCTACGCATTGAATACCATGAATATTTTTTACATATGTTCATATCTATGGTTTTAAAATAATCATTCTACAGGCGATATTTTTTCTTTCATACGCTGAGGTTCCAATTTTTTTATTTTCAATTCAAAACTCCAATAAACCTTTTCCACAGATATAAACGTAAGCAAATATTTAGTATAGGGGTAGTACATTTGTTAACAAGACGATAACATACCAAATACAATATTGTAAGATTGCAAAACGTCGCCTTTCCAACCAATAGTGAGTAAGTATTTTGCATTTGCCAATGAATGAATGTGTCTAAATTATTTTTAATTGCCTTGGATCCTCTAAAATAATTTTCGCACATTTTAACTTCATGAATGCATTTTGTTTGCTGCAATCAAAAAATTAGCGAGTTACTTTTAATGCTAACATTATGGCTCACCAAAATTACTCACTTCTTTATTTGTCACGTATCCATATACTGCATAGATTGTTACCTTATAAATTCGCGGCAGCATAAAAAGAAATATAAATACATATTCTTTCAAGCGTGTATTTGGTTCCGTTGCTTTTTGGCACATTAGAAACGTAAGATTTGTTAAAACAACGAAATCATGAAACAAATCGATACCACCTACAACGCCAAACACATCGTTAATTTGTAGAATTAGCTGAATATAGCTTTTGCAATAGTCAATTAGGCGCGCAAGTCGAAATTGAAATTCAGCCTGTCTTCTAACATCACCTCCAGACGTGTACTGTTGTTTCAGTAGACGTTGTATAAGGCGATAACGGATGCGTTGTAGATCCATCATTCCTATATTCAAAAAAATTATACAACTTGGAGCCGCTGTACAGGTCGCATGGCTAAAAGCAAGCACAAATGTTGTCGCATAGTCACAACTGCAGTTTGATAATTTGTATACATAAATAAACGCAATCATATAGAAGTAAACGATAACACAAATTGTAAACGTCGTAAACTTTCGCTCTGTCTTGTAGTAGTTCCAGTTAATATTTGGAAAATCGTTCTCCATTCGGTTATCCAGGTCTTGGAAACTTTTCGTTAGCTGCAGATGCTTATATTTCTTCCTTTCCATCGTTGCACTGGATACTGTGAAGGCAATGGCGCTGATGAAACACTCCATGATGAGTACAAATTTTAGAACTGGAGATAGATGGCCGATCATGGCTTTAGAACCTTCATTGCTTGAAATTTTCATTGTCACACTCCATATAAAACCCAATAATATAACTATCCTTATGAAATGTGTGTAGGCAATGTTGAATCTCGTTAATTGAAGAGCGCTCCGGGCAGGTTGAAAACATAGACAACCGGCATAGTATAAAATAATATAAATCCATTTAAAACAAAGAGAAATATTTTGGATGTTTCTTGATTTAGAAATTTTTTTGTTTGTACGTATTTTCATGTTTTAGATTTATACCAATTCAGTTGAGACAACCAAACTATTTGTATAGAGATAATCAAGGGAAAAAATAGTTTGGTTTGAATTGTTTGTGTCATGTGAAGTTATAGATATGAATGAATGTATTTAATTATAATTCAATTAGATCAAAGATATCAGATGTATTTACCGTAAATAGGTATCACAGAATGATGGCATTCACGAATGGTATACTCTTAACCCAGCAAACATTTAGGCTAGACAACGCGATTAGAAAAAGATTTGAACTCGAATGTAGAAGGCTAGAAGATGATTAGAGAAACCGTCGAGAATCAATGCATTCTTAAACAAGTAATTTTTAAGCAAAGAACAAAACCGACTTAAATTCTCCTATAAAAAAAAATGTATATATATATTTCATGATCCAATGGTCGGATCTAAGCCAGATTACAATGGGACCACCTTTGAGACACTACCAGGGACTTAGTTCTCGATATCGGGGAGAGGTTAAATATCGGATCGAAATTCTAACGTTGAATTCTAATCATTCTCTAATCGAATTCTAACATAGTTCTTTAAACTGATTTCCGATTTGAAAATCATACAAGAGAACTACATTAGAATCATGATTAGAATTGTGATGCAAAATCAAGTGTTTCTCTAACGTTACGAGACTGCTATTGTTGCTATTACAAGAATTGTGAATAAGTGTACGATTCTAGTTGGAACCTCCTTTCAGTCTCCAATTAGAAATTAAAAATTCACAATATTGTTATTTAGGATTTTTGCTTTACATGTGACGATATTAGTAACGATTACACCCTTCGGTCAGCCCCTCCCCATCAATACGATTACAAAAATTTTTGCGCGGCCCATATGCTGCTGCAGCGGCACTAATAGCTGGATAAAAACTAAACATTAAACGTACACACGCATACATACATCATGTAGATATTGGTTTTATTTTTATTTTCGTATTGATTTTAATATAACTAAAACTGCTTATACGGTGTTCGCATGAGGCGATTTTACAGGCAACTTTTAGTTGAAAGCAACAATCGCCTGGTGTGAACGTCGTTCCAAGCAATGGCTTCCAATGAAGTTAGGGTGCAGCCAACTTTTGCTTCAACTAATCTAAAATTGCCTGGAAAAACGTCTCATGCGAACACCGTATTACAAACAGTATTGGCGAACATAGATAGTACATTTTTTAATTGTTTATGCTTTCTTTTCCTTTTTATCCAAATGCCCATTAGTGTGTACAGGATTGTGGTTATGATTACTATTCCCACCGCTGGCATGACTATTTGTGTTCCGTAGCGTTTTTTGCAAAACATACGCGTCCGCAGGTTCAATGCGTTTGTAATAGTGTTCCTTGGTCTCAACAATTTCGAAACCAAATTTCTTGTAAAACGCTATAGCACCCTCATTATTTATTTGCACGTGCCTGCCAACAGAAATTAATGAATTATTAGTATCTTACGAATTGATCAAATTGGTAACGCTTACAGGAAGATGCTATCAAAGTTGCCATCTTTTTCTGCATAGTTGAGAATATGTTGGAACATTACAGTACCAATTCCAAGGCGTCGATACGAAGATAAACATCCTAAAGTCATAATGTAGAGACGCCTTTGATTTTCCGAAGTGTCAATGCGACAGCACACTGCGCCCACTACGATATCATTGTAGTACACCAGCTTTGCCAATTCACCAGCTTCCAGGACATCAATGTAAAACTTTTCATTGTACGATACAGGGAAAACAACGGTATTGAGCTTCTTCAATTGCTTGATATTGTGTGGCGTTACATCGCCCAATTCGATATTCGATCTGTATATATATGAGAAGGAAAGATGTTGAGATAGATTGGTTTTTAGGTTAAATTTCAATAATGCTTCACAGCCATACAAACCTCGTCATTTGAATATAAGGGTTCTGGTTTCCGAATTGATACTATTATTTACTTAAAGAATATGTGTTTTCAGATATATGATAGAAAATTAGCCAAAATATACAATAAATCCGAAACTCCAGAATTTAGCAAGTTGGAAGGCGCTAGGCGGCGAATTGCATATTCAACTGACAACTGCGAACAGATGGCTGCCAGTGTTGGTAATAAAATAAAATTAAAATTATAATGCAGTTTGTGTGCCAATGTAGGTAGGATTTTTTGGTTCCTAACCGAATCCGGTACAGCAGTTTCTGTACCAGTGTGAATTTAAAATCGCAAAAAAATCCCAATATAATATCCCAAGTGTAACTGTAAGTCGCCATTTCGCTTGAAAACTGAAAGAACCAAGAGACTAAAAAATTTTCTTTATTTAATTTTTGTGAAAATATTGTTGCCAACATAAAAAATGAGCTGCTCGAGAACGCGAAAGTGTTGTGTACGAAATTGCTATAATAAGAATAAAGAGACGCGTTTTCATTCCCCAGGGACGCAAATGAAGCGGCCAAGTGGAGGGAGAAACTCCGCATCAAGCCCATGGAGAATCTTCCACCGCACAACTCATTTGTGTGTGAGCAACCAATCATCGGCGGCGTAGCCTTTGACTCCCCAACCAGCGACGAACGATTTGCTCAGGCTTCTGGTAATAATCATAGCGAAAATAGTTATTGAAAAATAATAATAGCTTTAGAAGAAAGAATATAGAAACCTTAAAAATTCTACTCTCGGGCAATTGTACCTGATGCTTCTGATAGTAGCAACGCTATTAATTTTGCGGAAATGATCGTCAATAGTACCCAAGTTTCTCTCAATAGTCAGAGAACAGAGTGACTAGGCCGGACTCGTACGGGATCGCAACTAGTATTTAGTGCAGAGCTGGCCAGCTCAAGCTCTCAATTTGTGCCTGCTGTATATAAATTGTACAGGGAGCTTTTGAAAGCTTTGGCACGCGTGCCTATGAAGTGGCCAACTCTAATTTAATGCAATTGTATAGAACACTTTTGGGAATTTGTCAACAAAATAATTTTTATAATTTGCTACTAACTCGTTAACCGCTTTATAAAATATCGGTTTAACTTTTGAAAAGAAAATTTTAATGAATAGTGTTTATAGAGTATTTTCAAATATTGTAAATACTCGATATATCGATACTGACGTCGATATGTTTACAACACTAGGCAATTGGTTGCGCTTAAAATTCTTATTTTGGTGATAAAACATAGGTGATAAATGATTATAAATATAAATATTGGGCTGCTGGGTCATGTAGATTCGGGCAAGACCACATTAGCACGTGCTTTGAGTACTATCGCCAGTACGGCTGCCTTTGATAAGAACCCACAATCGCAGGAACGCGGTATCACACTTGATTTGGGATTCAGTGCAGTGGTGGTCGAAGCGCCCGCAAGCCTTAAATGCATTTCTCCTCAAGTGGAACAGGTGCAGTTCACATTTGTGGATTGTCCAGGGCATGCTAGCCTCATCCGTACAATAATAGGCGGTAAGTAAACGTGAGTATTTTGTAATGTTATTAAGACTCGCCTGTTTTTGGTATTGTAGGTGCGCAAATTATTGATTTAATGTTACTGGTTGTTGATGCACAAAAAGGTATACAAACACAAACTGCAGAGTGCATAGTTATTGGCGAGCTGTTACGGCGTAAATTAATAATAGTTGTGAACAAAATAGATTTACTAGAACAAGCGACACGTGCAGCACAATTGCAAAAATTAAATGCAAGGCTGCGCAAGACACTGGCACAAACTACATTTGATCCCGTAAGCAGTATTGTCAATGTATCTGCAATGGAGAGGATCAATGTTGAGGTATGTAGGTGTTTAAATGACCGTGTTTATTTACATAAACTTGATTTCTTTCACGCAGGAACTTTTGGACACTATTGTTTCTCAAATTGAAATACCCAAACGCAACAAAGAGGCACCACTAGTTATGTATTCGGATCATTGCTTTTCCATTAAAGGGCAGGGCACCATTTGCACGGGCACTATAGTACAGGGCTCCATTGACGTTAATGATTTAGTCGAAATACCTGCCATAAAAGAACAACGAAAAGTAAAATCAATACAAATGTTTCGCAGACCTGTACAATCCGCTGCGATGGGAGATCGGGTTGGTATTTGTGTACCACAATTTAATGCGAAAACAATGGAGCGTGGCATACTGGCAAAACCAGGTTATTTGCACAATGTTTACGCAGCATGTATTCGTATGAATCGTATACGGTTTTATAAATTTGCAATACGCTCCAAAAGTAAACTGCATATAACAATTGGCCATGACACAGTAATGGCAAACGTAACGCTTTTCAAGAGCATTAGCACTGAATCAGAAGGCACTTTCAACTTGAACAACGAGTACGAGTTTATTGAAGAACTGGAACCAGTATCAAATGTGGAAACGCAAGAGCACATATTTGCTCTACTTGAATTTCAAACGCCAATATTGGCAAATGCCAATGCAACGCTAATTGCTGCCAAGCTGGACTTGGATGCTCAAAGCAATAGCTGCCGCTTAGCTTTTTGGGGCCAAATGATTTGGTATACGCATTCCAACAATTACGCTTTAGACGAGCTACAAAAATTCAAAGTGTTTAAGCGAAAGTTAAAGCAGGGTTACATCCAAAGGCTCGTCAATGAGAATGAAGTTATTGTGGATAATCTATTTAGTAAACAGGGTAACCGAGATGTGTACATTGGAAAGGTAGTGGAATTGTCGACAGGTGAAAGAGGCGTTATCGAAAGCACCTTTGGACAAAAGTCAAAAGTGAAAGTACACTTTCCAAACGGCCTGAAAACGGGAACACTTAATGAGCTGAAAAGCGGACGCTTTAGCAGCATACAAGTTTTACTTAGATTTAAAAAATATATTTTCAACAAGCAACTGTTGCTGGTACAATAAAAACATAAACTAACTTTTTTCATGCCGAGGATGGAGAATCAATAAGTAATTTTAATCAAAAACCCAACCGAAAAAACCTGCTATTGTACTGAGGGTGGCTTAAGGGGCAGGTGAAATGATGATTAGTATCATTCAGAGTTTCTTCACAACCCGGCAAGAGCAAATTCATTTATATAGGTACTCATCCCCAGATTCAAATCAGGCCAAGGAATATCATTTCTGTATCACTTCCCCAAAACTTTGGGGAATACCACCTCGCTGTTATATACCATTGGCATTGCGTTTTTTT